CCCACTCCATTGGAGAATTGTTAGCTCTTAGAACAATGACTCTTACCAGAAATGATGCTATTAAGGAGCTGCCAGAATCAGTTGGGAATTTGCAGAATCTTGTCATACTGAGATTGACCAGATGTAAGCGACTTTGCAAATTGCCAGCTTCAATTGGGAAACTAAAGAACTTAGTACACCTGCTAATGGAGGAGACTTCAGTAACAAAATTACCTGAAACATTCGGGATGCTATCGAGCTTAATGATTCTGAAGATGGGAAAGAAGCCTTTCTGCCAGGTACCTAGCTAGGTGAATACATAGTTATATTAAATCATGGATATATGTATTTGTGTATGGAAACTATGAAAACTAGTATAAATGTTATATTTTGAACCCATATTTTCAAAGAACCTTGAACTCATAAAGATTAAACTTTGGATCTGCCTTTGCAGGTATCACAAAGTACTGAAACCACAAAACCAGCTACCTACACAGAAAGGGAAACAGCACCTGTTGTGCTTCCTTCGTATTTCTCAGAGCTATCCATGTTACAAGAACTTGATGCCCGTGCATGGAGAATAGTTGGGAAAATACCGGATGATTTTGAGAAACTATCATCTTTGGAGATCATCAATCTTGGTTTCAATGATTTTTCCCATCTCCCGTCTAGTCTGAAAGGACTACCTTTCTTGAAAGAGCTCCTTATTCCCCACTACAAACAGTTGAAAGCTATTCCTCCTCTTCCCTCAAGTTTGCTCAAGATAAATGCTGCAAACTGTGGAGCCCTAGAGAGTATGTACGATATCTCAAGATTAGAGTTCTTGCGCGAGCTAAACCTTGCAAATTGCATGAGTTTGGTAGACATCCAAGGTATCGAATGCTTGAAATCCTTAAGAATGCTACATATGGCTGGTTGCAATGTCTCCTGTGCCTCTATTGTTAGAAGCAAACTTGATAAGGTACTGTTTTCTCCTATTTAACTGTGTGTGGTATGACGGAAGTTATTTTCTACCAATAATATTTCCCGTGGAAAAATGTTTCCTGGTGTTTGGTTGGTAACTGGAGAGTGTGTATATATATATATATATATATATCAAAGATTGATAATAGTATTTGCAAATTGTACAGTATTTTGATGAAATTCTTGAGTATTAAAGATTGATAATAATGTGTAAGTGTAGGTTAAAGCAGTGATATGAAGTTAAGAGTTATGATAATTGAGAAGGAAAGTTACTTCCATCCAAATGTAACAGAAGTTATTGTTTCTCTTTTGGTAGAATTTTTTTCCCATGAATATCTTCTTTCGGAAATAAAACACCAAATAAATAACTTACTTTCAGAAAAAAAAATTCTCCCCAAAAAAATAAAAATCTGTCATAATGAAAATAGACCCGTGTGGTCCGGTCCTTCCCTGGACAATAGACCCGTGTGGTCCGGCCCTTGCAGAAATGCAGGGTAAGGCTGCGTGCAATAGACCCATGTGGTCCTGCCCTTCCCCCAACCCCGCGCATAGCGGGAGCTTAGTGCACCGGGCTGCCCTTGTACCGAACACACTCTATGTTTCATTCAATTTCTTGCCAAAACAGTACTTACCTGTTAGGCTAATGAAAAGCTTTTCACTGTCAGGTTGCTGTGAAAAACTTGTATAATTTTAGCATTCCAGGCAGTGAAATCCCAAGTTGGTTAACTCCAAGCGAGGTGCATTTCTCAAGGCACAGAAACAATGAAATTAAAGCAGTGGTTATTGCCATAGTTGTGTCAGTGAACTGTGCTAAACTAGATGATTTAAGGGATGAATTGCCTGTAATAGCTAACATCCATGCAAAAATCGTTAGAGCAAATCGAGCAGTATATACTACTGGTATGTACTTGGTAGGAGTCCCAACTACGCCCGAGGATCAAGTTTACTTGTGCAGGTATCGAGATTATCATCCATTAGTATCTATACTCGAGGATGGTGATATAATACAGGTGGGATTGGGCAACTTTCCCATTACAGGGATTGAACTAAAGAAGTGTGGAATACATTTAGTTTACGAAAGTGATGATGATTATGAAGGTAATGAAGAATCATTGGATGAAAGCCAACAATCTGTATCAGAAAGATTAACAAGGTTTATTGGAGCTTCTAATAGAGAGAGCAATGTCTTCAGCTCGAACTCAGCTCAAGAAGATGGAGAAGAGGAAAGAAGGCATAACTGTTTTAGTTTCGTTAAGGAGATTTTCCGTGCTTTAAAGTACCTTCTCTTTAGGCGATTTGCATCCTTCCTTCTAGCATGAAGACTTTGTTTTATCAAGCGTTGCTTCTCCCAAACTGCAGAAAGCTCAAGTTTCTCCCTCTATTTCCCTCGAGTTTGGAATGGTTAAAGCAAACTGCTCCGCGCAGGGCGACGAATTTTGTGGCCTAAAGCCAAATTTTATAAGGGGCCTTAATTTTTAAAATTTCATTATTATTATTTATTTGAAGTCTTTTTTTTATAGCTTTTCTTAAATACAAAGTTGTTAATAATTTTCTTATAATCAATAACTCCTAATAAGTATTTTTCAATTGACAATATAGCTAATCCATTTAACCTTTCTTGTGACATTGTTGATCTTAGGTAAGATTTTATCAATTTTAATTTTGAAAACTTCTTTCCGCTGAAGCAACGGTAACATGAGTTATAAACATTATTCCATAAGTAATTTAGGCATTTGGAAAAGAATTAAATCTTTTTATTTTGCTAAGTGTATCAATTAAACTGCTATCTTCTAATTGTACTATTTTCCTTAATACTTTTATCAGAAAATAAATCTAAAACATTAAATACGAATTGATTATTATGCTTTAAGAAACATTCAAGATTAAGGCAATATTTTTTTAAATTTTCAACATCTAGTGATCTTAGTTTTTACCACCAAATAGAAAACCAAAGATATTTTCATATGTTGTGAATTGTTCAAATCTATTTTAAAGTGAAAAAATAGCCTTGTCTATTATGTATAAAAATAATCAACTTTAACGTACTTTTTCAAAGATTTTGAGATTTCATTATCAACATTCGCATCAAATTGTTACTTCCTATATATCACACGTTTCTTACGAAATTCGGATTCGATATTCATTTCAAGTGCAATTTCCTTAGTAGAAATCATAGCAGTTGCAAAATCCTTCTTATCTATATTTGTTAAAGAAATAAATCAAACTTTTTCACTTTACAATTTTTTTTTTAAAAGTTATACATAGTTTATTAGATGTAACAAAAAATGGCGGTTGCTTTATTTGCTTTATGGAAGGATGCTCTTGGCTCCGCGTTGGAACATGTAACTAGCATATCAAATTGGGAATATTTGGTAGAACTCCACTTCAGTAATTGCAAGAAAGCAATAGATATTCCTGGCATTGAAAGCTTGAAATCTTTGAAAAAAGGTTGTATATCATCGGTTGCAACGCGTGCTTTGCTTCTATAAAAAGGTGGATTTCTAAGGTTCTTTCTCCTTCTCCCCTCTTAGACATCAAGATTATATCAAGCTGACTAGGACTCTGAATGCGAGGATTGTCTAAGGCATATTAAGTACCTCTGTGTTCCAGGGGATGACCTTCCATATTGGCTTATTGAGGAAGTACCTATTAGCTTCTCAACTCGTAAGAACTGTGATATCAAAGAACGCTTGATTCAAGTGCTTACCATTATGCCAAAGACTATAGGTGATAACAATGGTGCAACTTTATTACTTAACGAGCAAAGTCTTCAATGGATATCGGAGATTTGGCCCCCGGCTAAACCTACTAATGGTAGAGATGTAGTTTCAACTTCTTAATTCCAATTATCTGAATCTCAATTATCTCCGCTCTTAATGTGCCTATAATGTAGCTTACCTCCAAGAAGCACACACTATAATAAGAGGTAAATTCTGATTCGCAGTCCAAGCCCATCAAGCAATAAGCCCTATGTTCAACTACGACTCCAACCTGCATGGAAAAATAGCATGGACTAATCAGTTTTTAATCGGGTAATTGAAATATAGCCAGTGTTTGCAAGATAATTGGAAAAGACAAAAGCATCTCTCTAATTTGTGCATCGTTGATTTGTTGTTAAGGGTATTTAAGGAAAAATTAATATGAGTACAATTCTAACATACTACCTTCATGTAGTATGTTAGCAACACTCATATATATATATATATATATATATATATATATAACTACTAGAAACACATCATTTTTCCACGGAAATTTCCCACGAAAAAATTTTCAGTGGCAATGTCACGACCCGAATTTCCCACTTTCGGACCGTGATGGTGCCTAACATTTCACTTGCTAGGCAAGCCAACGTTAGAATAATATTAACCGTTTTTAAAATAATTTTTAAATTTATTAATAACGCGAAAGCAAATGCGAAAGTAATTTTGAAATAATCCATAATAATAACGGTGTCTAAATACCATCCCAGAATTGGTGTCACAAGTGCACGAGCTTCTAGAATAAATACAAATAAAGGTCTGAATAAAATAAAGCTGTCCGAAAATAAACACACAGCTAAAGTACAATAGACGGGGACTTCAGAACTGCGGACGCCATGCAGTTATGCCTCAAGTCTCCTCTGGTAGCTGAAATCCGAGCAAGTCTATGGTACGCCGCTGGGACCAACTCCAAAATCTGTACAAGAAGTGCAGAGTGTAGTATCAGTACAACCGACCCCATGTACTATAAGTGCTGAGCCTAACCTCGACGAAGTAGTGACGAGGCTAAGGCGGTTCACTTACATTAACTTGTACGCAATATTAATAATAACAAGAAATAATAGAAATAAATCAGGTAACTCATTTATAATAATTGAAACCAACCCAACAGTCATAATCCATTATTATTTCAACCAATTCTGTTGCAGCGTGCAACNAAATTATTTGTTTTATAAGCATTTGAATGTGTGTACTTTACTTTTATAACTAATGAATATAAACTTTAAAAAATAACAAGCTTTTAAAGCTAGCAATGGAAGCAATTTGCAAAGGTGGTTGCTAGAAACTTAGGGTCCACCAACAAGTATAGAGAACTGGGTTCTCTATCAGTTCCCATAGTAAACAAACAATAAATAAAGAACACACGATATTTATGTGGAAACTCCCTGCTCAAGGGATTAAAAACCATGACCTACCCCAGTAGGATTTAAACCCCACTAAAACTGAGCAAACTTCAGATTACAACCTATTGCTTTTTAGAAATTAAACTCTTAATCCATCACCCCTTAAAATAACTCTATTGTAAGTCCTTTGCAATAATTCTATTGCAAAGCAACACTCTTTACTAACTCTAGTCAAACGACCAAAACAATAATGGTTAAAAGTTGTCCTACGAAATACATCTAAAAAGTTGTGTAGGAATACAAGTAAATAACAAAAGACAAAGACACAACAAACTTAAGGACTCAAGCATCTTCAGTGTTGGGATCTGGTCCTTGGTTTGTAGCAGGTTTGTTCTTGAGTGCACCTGAAGAAAACAGTGGCGGATGGCACTTGAATGATAGGGTTTTTCAGATTCTCAAGTGTAGGTCAAATCTTGTATAATGTTGTTTATATATGAGAGAGCATGTGTGAAGGGATAGAGACACTTCAACTTTTGATTTGGTCTGTAGCAACAGCGATTGTGCCGTTGCACTGTTGCCAATCGGTACAATGAAATAACTTTTATAACTGTAGAGTTGATTGAACGATAGTTAAGGGAACTGATCCTATATGTTCCCTTATCTGTTGTCTTTTCTAGTTTCTCGAGAGTTTGACCATACATAGCATGTCCACCATGCGCAAAGGAACTAATTTGTATCAAATTCCTATTTAGTTCTCCAATGAGGTTTGAGAAATCATCAAAAATCATAATTATATAATTTATCGGTGGTCGTCAATGATCAATACTCATGATTGTGAGGTGTTGGCTTGTGTTTGATGGAGGCGACTCATAGTGATGGTTGGTGATTGCGTGGTGGTAGACAAAAATACTAATTGCGCGGTGATAACTAGGGAATAATGGGTGATGGAGACTGAAAATGGATCTGGTTTATGGTAATCATGATTAGTTGTGGATGGTTGAGTGGTATAAGAAGGATTAGATGTGGTGGTCTATATGTGGCTCTTTTAAAAATCATGGTTTAGACGGAATACACCAGATTGTGACACATGTCAAAATCTGGTGCTAAATATTTTGTTAATGAGATTATTATGTGGGTTGGGAAAGTCTGTTAAATATAAGGCATATGTGACTAGGGCTGTACATGGATCAGATCGGATTTAGCACATTTCGGATCGGATTTTGGATTTCGGATTCTAGAAAATGCAATTTGAATCCGATCCGAATTAATATCGAATCGGATCGAATTTTAAAGTTTGGATCAAATCGAATTTTCGAATTTCAGATCGGACTATTATGCCTCAAAGTTGCAAACTCATGTGTATATTTTCTTTGTAAAAGAGGCAATACAGTAAGAAAATGTAAGGCCCAGGAAATTTGGCCAAGTAATTTAGGATTTCGTGGTGCCAGGTAGGCTAATTATAATATTTTATGTGCTATTAACATGATGGACATATTTGGTAAATAAGTGTATAAGTCTTATAATGTGTAACTTGGGGTCTAATGGGGGGCCTAAGTCTAAGTCAAATTGAAAAATTTCATACTAGGCTAAAATTCTAAATGAGTTCGCACAAGTCCACACTTTGGACGAGCATATCTATATATGTATAAGGTTTTATGTGGTGAACAACCTATCAAATTAAAGGTCTTCGAGTCTAGTTTCTAATTCTCTAAACCGTTCGTCATTTGGACATTCCTATACAAAGTTGTGATCAAATTACCAAAGGTTGGATTTGCGACAAATTTAGCGATCGCAAAATGACTATGCGGACCGCATATCCGTCACATAATGAAGCAGTGTTGGGCAAAATGTTATGCTGTCGCATGTTAATTATGCTGTAGCATAATCGATTATGCTATCGCATAATGATTATGCTGCAAGAATGCTGCCCACATTTCGATTATGCTATAGCATAATCGAAATGTGGGCAGCATTCTTGCAGCATAATCATTATGCGATAGCATAATCGATTATGCTATCGCATAATGATTATGCTGCAAGAATGCTGCCCACATTTCGATTATGCTATAGCATAATTGCACCACATATTTGACTTCGAGGGTCATTTTTGGAAATTTTCATATCCGAACCCACTTTGATAAATAAGATTTGGGGCTTCATTTGGGACCATTTTACTCTAAATCTAGAGAGATGTGAGAACATTTTAGAGAGATAAAGAGGGAACCTAGCCTCCTAATTATCAATCTTGCACAAACCGTCAAGAATCAAGCATGCTAATCTCTAGCTCACTATCTTACGGGTAAGTCCTACTTCTAATATTTCATATATGAGATTATGAGTTCAAAAATATATTGTGGGGTTAAAAATAGGCCACACATGTGACACTAAGCT